AGTTTTCCCCCAGTGCCATGAGCTGCCACTTTCTTTAACAGTCTCTGGTGCGGTACTCTACCAAAAGCCTTACTAAAATCTAAATAAACAATATCAAATTCTTTATCGTGATCAACAGCCTCAAAAGCTTTACTGAAGAAAGTTAATAAATTAGACAAGAACGGCCTCTCGTGAATCCGTGCTGAGTATCATTAATCAGATTATGCTTAACCAGATAGCTTCTTCTAATCTCAGTTATAATTGACTCTAGCAATTTGCCTACAATTGAGGTCAGGCTTATTGGGCGGTAATTTGACGGATACGACTTGTCCCCTGCTTTAAAAATGGGAATTACATTAGCCATCTTCCACATATCAGACACTACACCTATTTGAAGAGATAAATTAAGAATATTAGTTAATGGTTCACAGAGTTCCATTTTGCATTCCTTAAGAACCCTTGAAAAAGCCTCATCAGGACCCGGCGATTTATATTGTTTCAGTCGGTCTGTTTGTTTCATAACCATTTCACTAGTGATTGTGATGTTACATAATTTATCTTCTTCTAGCCCACTATAAAATTAATTACTGGGATGTTGTTAGTGTCTTCCTGTGTAAAAACTGAGAGAAAATAATTATTTAAAATCAAGCACATTTCATTCTCTTTGTCAGTAAGATGCCCATAGTTATTTTTAAGGGGACCTATCTTATCTCTAACTTTTGTTTAACACCTGGAAAAAACTTTTTGGGTTAGTTTTCGAATCCCTAGCAACTTTAATTTCATACTCCCGTTTATCTTTTCTTATCCCCTTTTTAACGTCCCTCTTAATGTCAATATATTGATTCATAAGATGACCCTCACCTCTTTTGATACGCCTATAGATTCCTTTCTTCTGCCCTAAAAGATATTTCAGCCTATTATTCATCCATTTTGGGTCATTTTTATTCGATCTAATTTCTTTATACGGGATAAATGTACTTATTGATAGCTCACTTCGTTACCCCAATCAATAGATAAGTGTTCTCTAAGCCTATTGTAATATGCTAAGCGAAAATCTGGGACCGTTACTGAATTATTCCTACTGTCATATTTCCATTCTATGCTAAAGGTAATTGATTTGTGATCGCTTGTGCCAAGTTCCTCTGCAACTTTTAAATTATTAACAAGAGTTTCCTTGTTTGCCAGAATCAAATCAAGCAGGTTATTACCCCTTGTAGGTTCTGTCACAAACTGCTTCAAAAAACAATCCTGAACTACTTCTGAGAAGTCGCTTGATTCTAAATTCCCAGTCAAGAATTTCCAATCAATCTGACTAAAGTTAAGGCCTTGTGGCCTTAACAATTTCCTCCCATAGTAATCTCCCCTGGTCCCTATCTAAGTTTGGGGGATGGTAAATCACTCCTAAAATCAATTTTTCATGCCCCTCTGAAAATTCTATCCAGACAGACTGTATGTATTGCTTCAGACTTAATACCAGTTTTTATGCAACAGTTCAAGTGATCTCGGACATACAGTGTCACCCCAGCCCCCTTACCGATATTTCTATCTACCTGGAACAATTTAAAACCCTGAATGTGACATTACGAAGTTATGTCCCGACTTTTGGAATTAAACCATGTCTCAGTGATGGCAAATACATCAATGTTACCTGCACTAGCAACTAATCTCAACTCGTCCATCTTATTCCTGGAACTACGGCTATTAGCATAATATATTTTTAAAGACCCTCCTTTCTCTTTACCCTTCCTGCTCATTTCTGTTTTTCCACTAAACCTATTACTGTCCTTGTCACCTAGTGATACTGGCTTTCCAATATCCACCTCATTCTGCCTATTACTAGTTTCCCTAGAACTCATAATATTATTACACTGCGACTTCACTGTATTCCCGCCAAAACCCATACCACTAACTATTACTAGTTTAAAGTCCTAACAGCTCCCTCCACTGCCGTTGCCAGTGCCCCCACCCCAGACCTAGATAAGTGAACCCCATCCCTGGCATACATGTCATTTCTGCCATAGAAAAGGTCCCAGTTGTCAATGAATGTTTCTGCATTTTCCTTACAATATTTGTCTAGCAAGCAATTAACACTAATTGCCCTGGACAACCATTCGTTTCCAACTCCTCTCCTTGGCAAAATACCACATATGACAGGGTTCCCACCCTTCTTACTAATTATCTCTATTGCTGACCTATACATGCTAATCAGGTCCTCACTCCTATGTCTGCCAACATCGTTGCCTCCTGCACTGAGGAAGAGAATAGGATTACTCCCATTACCTTTTATGATGTCGTCCAGATGGCTAACAATATCCCCCATCCCAGCCCCAGGAAAATATACCCTCTGCCTCCTCTTCCTGTCCCTAAGTCAAAAGGCCCTATCCATAAACTTAACCTGATTGTTTCCAATTAAAGCAATGTTCTTACCTTCACTTGTAGAATTCGTCGTGACGTTCTCGATGGTCTTCGCTGGATTTTCAAGGGATGTCTCGCTCACGTCTGCCAATGCTTCCTTGGTGCTTGTTGTGACGTTCCCAGTAGGCAACCCACATTCGTCAGGTAGTACCGAAAATGGGTTGGAAATTTCCACAATAGTCTTCTGGTTCTTTGTTGTTTTTGCCTTTCCAACAGTCTTCTTGATCCTCAGTTTGTTTCCATGTTGCCCGGCCACTGACCAGGTTCCACTCTTAACCTGAGGACTCACAACAGGATGATTACTACGAATCTTCTTGTTCTCCTCCGTTAATCGCCGTATCTCCAGCTTAGCAACCCTAAGCTGCTGGTAGAGTTGCTCAAGAGAGGACATCTTGGTTCAGATTCACAGAGAGCACACAGGTCACCAGTGAGCTAAGTACAGGTCACACAACATCCTAAGTACAGGTCAACTTCACATCATCCGCAAACAGGGACACTTCGGAGTCTATTCCTTCCATCATGTCGTTCACAAATACCAGAAACAGCACCGGTCTATGACTGATCCCTGTAACACCCCATTCGTTACAGACACCCACTCTGACACCTAGCCACGAACCATGACTCTTGTGTGGAACTGTGTCAAACGCCTTCTTACAATCCAAGAAAATGCAGTCTACCCATCCCTCTCTCTCTCTCTTGTCTTACTGCCGTCACCCTGCCATAGAACTCCAGTAGGTTTGTAATGCAGGATTTCCAATGCATGTGTGTGTGTGTGCTCACCTAATTGTACTCACCTAATTGTGGTTGTAGGGGTCGATTCATAGTTCCTGGTCCCTCCTCTTCACTGGCCGCCAATAGGCCCACTTGCTCCACGAGCTTTATCATACCTCTCCTTAAAGCTGTGTATGGTACCTGCCTCCACTACCTCACTTTCCAAACTTTTCCACTTCCTGACAACTCTACGACTGATGAAGTACTTCCTAACATCCCTGTGAGTCATCTGAGTTTTCAACTTCTAATTGTGACCCCTTGTTGCTGTGCCCCATCTCTGGAACATCCTGTTTTACCCACCTTGTCGACTTCTCCCAGTATTTTAATAGTCATAATCATGTCCTCCATGTCTCTCCTGTCCTCCAGTGTCGACAGTTCGAGTTCCCTTAACCTCTTCTCGTAGGATATGCCCCTTAGCTCCGGGACTAGTCTCTAGAAACCTTTGCACTTTGTCTAGTTTCATGAAGTGCTTAGCCAGACATGGGTTCCAAACTAGAGCTGCATACTCCAATATGGGCCTGAAGTACACGGTGTACAGGGACCGGAACGATTCCTTACTGAGATGCCGAAATACTAATCTTAGGTTCGTTAGTCGTTCATATGCTGCTGCAGTTATTTGATTGATGTGGACCTCAGGAGATGTGTTTGGCATTATGTGCACTCCAAGATCCTTTTCCTTGAATGAGGTTTATAGTCTTTGGACCCCTTGACTGTATTCTATCTGTGATCTTCTTTGCCTTTCCCCGATCTTCATGATTTTACACTTGGTTGGGTTGAACTCCAGGAGCCAGTTACTGGACGAGGCCTGCAGCCTGTCCAGATCATTTTGTAGTCTTCACTTGCCCTTCTCTGACTGAATTCTCCTCATTATCTTCACATCCTCTACAAACAGGGACACTTCTGAGTATTTTTTTCGTCATGTCGTTCGCATATACCAGAAACAGCACTGGTCCTAAAACTGATCCCTGTGAAACCCCGCTCTTCTAAGACGCCCACTCTGACACCTCATTACGTACCATGACTCGCTGATGCCTTCCCGTCAGGTATTCTCTGATCCATTGCAGTGCCCTTCCCGCTATACTTGCCTGGTTCTTCAGCTTTTGCACTAATCTCATGTGTGGAACTGTGTCAAAAGCCTTCTCACAGTCCACGAAAATGCAGTCTACCCAGCTCCCCTTCTCTCTTCCCTTACTGCTGTCACGTTGTCATAGAACTCTAGTAGGTTTGTGACTCAGGATTTCCCATCTCTGATTCTGTGCTAGTTGTCGTTCATAAGCTTATTCCTTTCTAGGTCGTCCATCACTCTTGATAATCTTCTCCATGACTTTGCATACTTCACATGCCTGTGACAATGGTCTGTAGTTTATGCTACATGTCTGTCTCATTTTTTTTAAATTTGGACTACATTTAATGAGTAGTCGCCCTGTCTCGATAGATGTGTTGAAGATTTTTGTTATTGGTACACAGAGCGCCTTTGTTCCCTCTCTCAGGACCCATCGCTTTTTATATATCTAGTTCTCTTAGCACTCTCTTGTGAATGTGTGTGTGTGTGGGGGGGGGGGTGCACTCGCATGTCAGCCTGAACATGATAAGAAAGAAAACAGCATTTAATAAAGCTGTTAATTTTTATTACTTTCTTAGTGTATAATAAATTCATTGCAAGCTCATCTTGAGCCAAAACACACGAGCCTAAAACACATAAATAATTTTCTATTTAGACAAACAAAAAAAGTTTACTTCAGTTTAAACCATTTTTCAAAATATCCATTTAACGATTCTTATGGTAATGAAGTTAGGTCTTTTTACTTATGTTTTTTCTTCATTTGTGTTGGTAGGTTCACCAAGTGGTGATTCCTGCCGAGGAGATACAACGAAAGTCGCCCCGCACCTCCATCGCTTACTTCGTCCACGCTGATGGCCACATCCCCATAAGGCCCCGGGAATCTTCCACTGAAGAGCCTCCCACAGTGCTGGAATACGCCTGCAGCAGGCTGGCTAGGGCTTACACTCAGAAATAACGACTTTACGCTTGCAGCAAGCCATCCCAGTAATCATTGTCACTTGAATCGTACTGTGAAGGTCGTGTTTATTACCACTTGACCAATCTCCATCCTTTACTACCATCGTCTTACCAGACTGTGGTTTGAGTAGTGTCCAGAATAAATGTGTGAAATTTCTGATTTAGGAGTTAATTATTTTGAGCCCAAATCAGCAGTCACCTTATCCAACATCATCGAGTCTACTTCCACACCAAGTTTTTTTTTTTTCTAATATTCTTTATGAATAAATGCAACAAATTATGTTTTCAAAAATCTGTTTGCAAAAATATTTTTTTTAATTAATAATGTTTCTGGTTCCAGTTCAACACTTAGACACTATATCTAACCCACCTACAGTGAGACAATAAAAAAAAAAATTTAATTTGACAAATTAAGTTTTCCTGAAAAGATACCTTTAAGATGCTGTCTGAGAGTTGTTTTTCTCTTGTTTTTTCCTAAAACTTTTCGATTTTATTTCGCTCATAACTCGAGAACGCCTTCAAATTTCCATCACTTTTGTAAGGTAACCGGGACCAATTGTACATTTTATCAATTGTAATGTTGATGTTCAGTGCATACAAAATTGTAGAATCCATTCCAGCATACTGGAATGCCTCGGAAACACTTTGAGGTGTACTTTGAAACCCTTGAAAAAGGTGCCAAAAAAAAAAAGACGCCAGAGTGTAAAATTCACTTGTGAAGCTGCGGATTAGGCTATTTTATGTGTAAAATAGTGTTTTTTTTTTTTTTTTGTTAATGGCTGAAGCATCTTAGGGCCAGGATAGTATCTAATATGTTTCGTTTCCATTAAGGTAAATATGATGCGATGAAATCCGCGCCATAACTGGAGGATGACTCATCTGAATGGTTTCTATTTTCACTACTGATGTAATTATTTTTCATCCGTGTTTTTTTTTCGCCTTTTTATCACTCCTTTTTCACAATTTCTGTTGTAATTATCTTCACACCAGCCCTAGATAAGCAAACCCCATCCCTGGCATACATGTCATTTCTGTCACAGAAGAGGTCCCAATTGCCAATAAATATACTTCTATGTTCTCACAGTGCTTGTCCAGCCAACAGTGTACACTGGTTGCCCTGGATAACCATTCATTTCCAACTCCTCTCCCTTGCAAAATACCATATATTACAGGGTGCCCTCCTTTCTTCCTAATTACGTCTATCATTGACCATAATCTGTTAATCAGGTCCTCCTACACCTTCTAACATCGTTGCCTCCAGTACTGAGACAGATAACAGGAATGTTCCTAATACCACTCATGATACTGTCAAGACAGCTAACAATATACAGTAAAACCTCGGTTGTTGAACGGACTAGTTTTCGAACAAATTGGTTTTCCAACCAATATGTTCTATTTGGTTTTCATATGTGGTCTTGGTTGTCGACCAAGAACGCCTGGATTATGTGATCACCAGAATCCATAGCATGGGTCTCAATCAGTGTAGCAACTAATGCATGTGCATGCAGTCTAAAGCGGACAAGACAATACAGATCATCCAGACCATGGGAACCAAAATAGGGGAGCCAAAACCTCTACAGAGAAGATTTTTTACTGCCAGGAAGGAAAAAAGACTGGTAACAAATTAAAGAAATCCTACACCAACTGAAAACAACAGATATTAATGCTAGCAAACAAAATCCCTCTTACTTCCAACAATTTAACTACATTTATCTTTGCCATCAACAAACAAAATGCCTTACATCAAGAGACTGCTTGTGGATGCAAATGTGAAGTACACAGACTTTGTGAAAGGCATCGAAAGTGCAACCACTGCGTAATAGTGCACAAAATGAGTGATAAAAGAATAACAGGAAAAGTTGGTAGATGGATCTATAAATTTCTGACAAAACACAGAGTAACAGTAAACAGAATAAAGTCTGAGGCGACTACAGTGAAAAGCTCTTTTCCACAAGGTACAGTACTCGCTCTCATCCTGTTCCTTATCCTCATATCAGACATAGAGATGTAAGCCATAGCTTCGTGTCTTCCTTTGCGGATTACACCCGAATTGCCATGACATTGTCCTCCATCGAAGACACTGAAAGACACCAAGCGAACATTAACCAAATCTTTAAATGGGCAGCAGAAAACAATATGAAATTCATTGGGGACAAATTTCAACTACTCAAATATGGAAAACTTGAGGAAATTAAAACTTTATCAGGTTATAAAACAAATCTCAGAAAGAACTTTAAGCATTATTGAAAGTGAAAAAAAAAATACTTCTCTTATGCCAAACCTAAGACGAAAACAACTTCCAGTATTGGACCCCTTCTTAGACGACATTGGACCTACACAGATGACAGCAAAGAAGTGAGTGAGATACTAAAGTCCCAATACGATTCAGGGATTTAGCGAGCCGTTAAACAGACTAAGGAATGACAAATTAAATAAGTTTTATGATGACAGAGACCCAAAATTTCGTCATTTCAAGAATCTCTGACATTATCGTAACTCCATAAGACTTAAAAAGGGCAATTAATGACAAGCAAGAAGTTCCTGTCAGGTGCCTTCATCATTCTATGGAGAGGGAGCATGTACACTGGAGTCATCCCAATTTTTAAAAAAAAAACAGACATAGTCCCACTCCACAAAGGTGGCAGTAAGGCAATTGCAAAGAATTAAAGACCGATAGCGCTAACATACCATATCATAAAAATCTTTGAAAGGATTCTAAGAAGCAAGATCGACAACAACTTAACTACCCAGCAATTACACAACCCAGGGAACCACGGGTTTAGAGCAGGTCACTCCTGATTGTCCCAGCTACTGGACCACTATGACAAGAACCTGGATACATTAGAGGATAAACAAAATGTAGATGTAGTATAAACAGACTGCGAAAACCTTCGACAAATGCGACCACGGTGTAATAGAGCACAAAATGTGTGATAAAGGAATAGCAGGAAAAGTTGGTAGATGGATTTATAACTTCCTAATAAATAGAACACAAAGAGTAATAATAAACAGAGTATAGCCTGAGGTGGCTACAGTTTAAAGCTCTGTTCCACAAGGTACAGCACTCGCTCCCATCCTGTTCCTCATCCTTATATCTGACATAGACAGAGATCATACCACGGGCGGGATTGAACCCGCGGTCAGAGAGTCTCAAAACTCCAGACCGTCGCGTTAGCCACTGATATGGTTTGTTTGCAATCGTGTCATTACGATTTCGTGAGTCATAGACAGAGATGTAAACCAAAGCTCCGTGTCTTCCTTTGCGGATGACACCCGAATTACCATGACATTGTCCTCCATCGAACACATTGCCAGACTCCAAATAGACATCAACCAAATCTTTAAATGGGCATCAGAAAGCAATATGAAATTCAGTGAAATTTCAGCTACTCAGATATGAAAAACTTGATTAAATTAAAACTTTATTGGGTATTCAACAAATTCTAACCACTCAGTTGAGCGAAAAACTAATGTGAAGGACCTGGGAGTGATAGCGTCAGAGGATAGCACCTTAAAAGACCACAACAATATATCTACCTCATCTGCTAGAAAAATAATAAGATGGATAATGAGAACCTTCAAAACTAGGGACACCAAGCCCATGATGATTCTCTTCAAACCGTCTGTTCTCTCTAGGCTGGAATACTGCTGAAGACTGACTGCCCCCTTCAAGGCAGGCGTTATTGCTGACCTGGAGAATTTACAGAGAACTTTAACGGCACACATACGTATGATAAAGCACCTAAATTACTGGGAACGGTTGAAGACCCTTGATTTGTATTCCCTAGAATGCAAGAAAGAAACATGATAATATGCACTTGGAAATTCTTAGAGGGATTGGTACAAAACTTGCACACGAAAATCACTTCCTATGAAAGCAAAAGACTCGGCAGGAGGTACAACATTTTCCCAATGAAAAGCAGGGGTACCACGAGTACGCTAAGAGACAGCACAATAAATGAGGGATATTACCAATAGACCTCTAGCTGTCTTCAAGAAGGCGCTGGACAGACACCTAAAGTCAGTACTTGACCAGCCAGGCTGTGGTTTGTACGTCAGTTTGCTTGTGGCCAGCATTAATGGCCTTGTTGGTCAGACCCTGATCCACCACGAGGCCTGGTCTCAGACCGGACCGCGGGGGCGTTGACTTCCATGGCCCTCTCCAGGTTTCCTGCCCGCGTTTCTGTCATTTGTCCATTGCCCTGGACGGGTTTCCTTGTCATTTTCCATGGCCATGGGAAGGTTTGCCTATCATTTTACATTGCCCTAAATGTTTTGCTATTTAATTTTCCATCGCCCTGGATGGGTTTCTATGTCATATTCCATCGCCCTGGACGGGTTTCTATATCATATTCCATCGCCCTGGACGGGTTTCACTGTCATTCTGAATAGCCTTGGAAGGTTTTTCCCTATCATTTGCTGTTGTCTTGGGCTGGTTACTCTCTCACACTCCATCATCCTGGACGAGTTTCCCCATCATATTCCATCGCCCTTGACGGTTTTCCCCGACATATTCCATCGCTCTTTATGGGTTCCCTGTCATATTACATCGTCTTGGACTGGTTTTTTTTCTGTCATTTTACATTGCCCTGGACAGGTTTCACCGTCATGTTATATCACCCAGGACGGGTTTCCCTGTCATTTTCCATCAAACTGGACTGGTTTCCTTGTCATCTTCCATCGTCCTGGACAGGTTTCCCCGTCATATTACATCACCCAGGACTGGTTTACCTGTCATACCATCTCCTTGGATGGTTTTCCTCTGTCATTTTTCATCTTCCTGCACTGGTTTCTCCGCTATATTCCATCTCCCTGAACGAATTTCCTTGTCAAATTTAATCTCCCTGGAAGGGTTTTTCTTCACTCTGGATGGGTTTCCATGTCATTTTCCACCGCTCTGGACATGTTTCTATTATTTTCCATCGCCGTGTGTAATATTCCATCTCCCTAGACAGGTTTCTCCGTTATATTTCCTCTCACTGGAAGAGTTTCCCTTTCACTTTCCATCGCCCTGGACGGGTTTCCTTGTCACTTTCCATCGCTGTTGAAGGGTTTCCCCGTCATATTCGATCGTTCCTTACGTGTTTCTTTGTCATATTCCATAGGCATGGAAGGGTTTTCCTGTCACTTTCTATTGCCCTGGACAGATTTCCTTGTCACTTTCTATTGCCCTGGACAGATATCCTTGTCATATTCCATCGCTCTAGAAGGTTATTTCTATCATTTTCCATAGCTCTGGACGGGTTTTCCTGTCATCTTCCATCGTCCTGCATGGGTTTTCTTGTCACATTGAATCACCCAGGACGGGTTTCCCTCTCCTATTCCATCTCCCCTGTCGGGTTTTATTGTCATTTTCAATCGTTCTGGACGGGTTTCCCTGTCATATTCCTCCCCCATGGAA